CGAGTGAGATATTAAAGCAGAATAGGTAGGTCCTGTGTCCACTAGAAAGGTGATAGACCTATCCACTACCTGGAACTTTATCCTAGGCTCAGCAAGGGCAATGGGAGAAGAGGTCACTATGTCTAGGTGCCATTGGTCCTCCACCAGGCTGCAGAGCTTGAGGCGGGAAGAGTCTAGGTTGCCAGTGTCAGTGAGGCTGGATCTCCATGGCATGGCATAGAGGATGAGCCCATGTGGGAGCATTCTGATCTCCAGGGCCAGGCTGTTGGCAGATGGGGCATGGCCTCATCAGTGACTGAGGATCTTGGCAGTACCTTGACCAGTGCTTCCTGGCCACATTTGAAGCAGGCTCCTGGTAGAGTTGACTTGGGCTGGGCTTAGGCTAGATGGAGCCTTGTAGAATTCCCTTGTGAGAGTGCTGATGGCCTCAAGGCAGCTGGCAAGCATGGAGAGACCGGGGAGACCAGACGCCTGCCGCACTCCCCGTAAGGAGACCACGTGGAAATACATAGAAATGGGTTAATAATTAAGACAGAGCTAGCCGATAAGAAACAAGTAACTGGCCAACAGAATTGTATCTAATACAGAGTCTCGGTGTGTTAATTGGGGTTGGCGCAGCGGAGGGCGGAAAAACCATACTCTTTACACAAGTATATTAAATCATGGTCTCTTATAAACAGTTTAGAAAAAATGCTGGATTTTCATCAGCTTTCTTTGTAATTTCTCAGAGCTTACCAAAATTAACTTGTCTGAGACCATGTCCATACCCTGAAGGAGGCAACAGACCATGAGGTACCTCCTCTGGCGGCTGTTCTGATCTGGCTGATAGTCTCAGTAGGGTTTTGTAACTGGCTCTGCCATGCCACAACAACTGTATTGTCTGATAGGTGAATTCAGTCTGCATGTTGTCTGGCTGCTGCCTGAACTCAACCCGTTCCTCAGCAGTGAGAGTGGGGAGGCCTGGATGACATAGAGGTTGTGCCAGGTCAGGTCATAGGCTTGGAACAGATGATCAAACTCCTTTATATAAACAGAAGGATTAACAGAAAAGGAACCCAACTACTTTTCTGTCTGTGAGAGATCCTGAAGGGAGAAGTGGGTGTAGACTCCAACAGTTCCATTGGTTCTAGACACCTCTCAGAGAGGGTAGAGGAGGACAGGAAGCCACTGAGACCTGGTACGAGAAGAGATCAGAGAGTATTCCAGAGGGGTATGCCAGTATATGGAAGGGGAGCAGGGTGTGGCATTGAATGATAGGGAGGAGCAGTAGGAGAGAGATGGGGAGAGGAAGGTGGGTGAAGAGGAGAAATTTGGTCCTCGACCTTTGTCCTGGAGAGGAAAAGAGGGGAAGAGTAGATAGATGAATAGATCATGTAGCTTTGTAGAAGGAGGATGGGTAGGCAGGGTTCAGAGGACTGGGGGAGGTCAGGGCAGAATGTTCAGGGTTCCAGTTCCCAGATAAACAGGAATCTGGAGGTACCTGAGCATTGATTTTTTTTTTTTTTTCAAAGAACCAATTCTTTGTTTCATTAATTCTTTGTAGTGTTTGTTCTCTGTTTTTTTATTTTATTGATTTTAGCCCTTACTTGGATCGTTTCTTGCTGTCTCCTTTCTGGTATGCTTACTTTGTAGTGGGAAATTTTGTACCTGGTGTAAACGCCGGAGTGATTGCTCACCTAGTCTTTGTAGTAATCTTTGAAAAGTGATGTAAGATTGTTTCCTTTGTTTTCATATGTGGAGTTAATCTCCTTGGTTTGGAATTTTTCCTTCTAGCACCTTCATGGGATATCTTATTTTCTCTATTTGTTATGAATGTAAATTTTCTGGGCATTGTAATCTGGACTGGGATCTGTGGCTTCTTAGAGTCTGCAGCACATGTGTCCAAAGCCCTTCTGACTTTTACAGTCTCCATTGAGAAGTCAGGTATAATTGTCATGGGTCTACCTTTGTATGTTTCTTGGTATTTTTCCTTTGCAGGTTTTAATATTCTTACTTGTATGTTTAGTGTTTTCATCATTATGTGGCAAGGGGACTTTCCTTTCTGTTCCAATCTTGTTGGTGTAGTTGGTGTTTTATATGCTTCCTGTACCTTGAAAGGTACCTCCTTATGTTAGGAAAATTTTCTTCTATGATTTTGTTGACAATATTTTCTGGACCTTTGAGCTGGGATCCTTCTCCTACCTTGATCTATGTTCATAGTTTCCCAGATTTCCTGGATACTTTGTGTCAGGGATTTTTTAGATTTGACATTTTCCTTGAGTGATGTATGAGACTTTCCCTCCCATGTCTGTATTCAGTTGGTAAAGCTTGCCTCTGCAGTTCTTTGTAGTCTTAAATGTTTCATTTCCAGGATTTCCTCACTTTGTGTTTTCTTTTTTGCTTCTATTTCCATTTGCAGGTCTTGTACATTATTTGTTTCCTTCAATTGTGTGTTTTTTATTGACTTTATTTAAGGGATTTATTGGTTTCCTGGATATATAGATATATAATTTTTGAGGGTTTTTTTTTATTTCCTCAATTGTTTTTGTTTTCCTTGATTTCTTTAAGGGATTTATTATCTCTTCTTTAAGGGAAATATATATGTATGTATGTATATATATGTATGTACACACACACACAAACACACACACATATACATACATACATATAAATAGTTGGTTTTAAGGTCTTTTTCTTGTACTTCACATATGTTGGAATATTCAGGACCTGATATGGTAGAATAGCTGGGCTCTGGTGGGGATATATTACCCTGGCTGTTATTTTCATAAGCTGGCATCTAGGCATCTCATTTTGGGGTGATTATAGATTTAGGTGCTGCTTTCTGGGTGTGTGTTGGTTGGGTGGCAATTTGGGGGTGGGGGTTGTTGTCTCTCTGGATTTTCAGAGTATGTGTTGGCTGAGCCTTGTCTTCTGTATAGCTTCCTTGGCTGGTGTGTTCATGGGGGGATGTTTTGCTGCTGTTGGAGGCTGGGGGAAAGGGAGGCCAGGGGAAGATTTCAGGGAGCCACAAGAGTGGAGAGAGGAAGCTGCCTCTAGGATTCTATTCTAGTTCAGGGGCAACTGTGAGAATTGTGTCTGTGGTGATAGTAGAGTAGATCTTTGGGCAGCCTACCTAGTCTTCTGGCAGGCATGACCTGTGGTAGAGCTGGGAGTGTCTGCCCAAGTTCAGGGCTGTGGCACAGATGTGGGGGTGGGAAGGGAATGGGTAGTAGGGATGGTCTGTGAGACCTATAGGTATGGATAGGGGAGGGGAAACTGTAATTTGTGTATTACAGCACTAGGAGCAAATCTTGAGTATTGTGTCTCTGGTAACAGTTGCAAATGTCCTTGGGCAGCAGCCTACCTCGTCTTGTACCCAATATCTTAATACTGAATCATCAGATTCACAGGCATCATTTTTATGTTCCTTTATTTAGATTTTTATTGTTGTTAATCTGTGAAAGACTTTCAATTGACTGGATAAAAAGTACTATGTAGGCTCAGCAGGTCACTCATCAAGTATTCTTGGGGTTGACCTGAGTTCAGAAACCAGCACCCAAGTCAGGAGGCTTAAAATCACCCACTACTCTAGATCCAGGGAATATGACATCTTCTCTGATGTCACCTGTATATACATGGAAGGCATTCTTTCTCACACACACAAACATACATATAAAGATGAACATAGATTTGTTTTCAAAAGTGCTTGTGACTTTTATAAAGCAATTAGAGCAAAACAAATTGCTTTAGGTGTACAATACAAATCATACATTAATTATTTCTTTAAAAATCTGTTACCATGCATTTGGTTTTTAAACATTTACATTTCCACACTCTGTTGCAAACTTAAATCCAATCTTCAATCATTGGGAACAAAGTAGTTTCTAAGTAATCCTAACAAACATCATTTTCTTTTTCATAATGGAATGGCATATTTTAGGTAGTTACAACTATTTTCTACAATGTTGAAACATCAGAAGCTTCAAGTAAATCTCCCCAATTTTGGTAAAACGGCCCTCCTTGATAAACTCATTGTCTGTTTTTGGCAAAGGAAAAAACCAGAGTGCATAGGGTGAGTGCTGGCCAGTGATTTCTTTGATTTTGATTTTTGGTTAAAATCTTATACTTCTTGTTTAAGGGACCATGTTAAATTTGTAATAAGTCTTTGTGTCTTCCTTTATCAGTGGTGCCCCCTGTGTTATGTGGTTTTGTTAATTATAGTCTAATTATATTGTTGTTTCTCTGGAAAATGACAAACCTTCATTTATTTTTGTATTCTAAAATTTTACTATATTATGCTGTGAATTCCTTGAGTTTTTGTTGGTTTTGGGACTTTCTGTGGAGAAACAATTTCAGCTTTATTTTTCTTGATGTTAAAGGCTTTCCTCTCTTCATGATGCATCCATCTTTTCCAGGTGTTACACTCATCAATGTTGGGTTTCTGCTGCTTTATGTGATTGCTACGATTAACACATTGGTTTTGGGCTTTTAAAACCTTCTCATATATTTCATATATTATTGTCTCTCTATCCTGTTTAGGTTCAGTTGTCAACATTTCGAGCCTACAGTCATCTGAGTGAGCCTCAATTGAGCATGTGCCCCTAGAAGAATGACTGGTTGCTATTTCTTTGAGAGATTGTGTTGATTGATGATTGATGAGAGAAGACTCTTCCAGTGAGGCTGATAATATTCCTAAGCAAGTGGGCCTGGGCTCAGTAAGAAAACTAGGTGATCAAGAGACAGTGACCAAACAAAAGAGAAAGTCGGGAAACAATGTTTGCCATTGTTTTTTGCCTTCATTTTCTAGCTCAAGTTTCTAGCCTAAGCTTTCAAAATTATGGACTATTATCTGGCAGAATCAGTCAAGTAAACCTGTTCATTACCTGAGATGTTTTTGGTTAGAGGATTTAATCACAGAATCAGAGAAGCAAAATATGGCACAACAAAAGAGATTTTGTTGCTAGGAAGAACCTGGGATTGTTGTCTTTTGAGAAATGTGGAAGATAACCAGACTTTAAATAGCAAAAGCCATAGAAAGCTGTACAGATAGCTTACTTGGCTGTTCTTGTAGGACCAGGAAGATGTGAATGTTGAGAGTAATGCAGACAGAGGATTTCATCAAAGGATGCAGAAATGACAGAGGTGGACCTCCTTTTTCAGTTTCCTTCTATACTGACTTTGTGATTACATTAGAACTTATATGTTATGGAATAAGTCTGGGAAGCACCAGAAATACATGAATATATTTTCAACGAAATATACATTTACAACACTATTACTATCACACTTTCTGTTGTGCACATGTATGGGATATTTTAGAATGCAGTTACCTATGATGATGTGAATGTCACCTTCACTCGGGAAGAGTGGGCTTTGCTGGATCCTTTCCAGAAGAATCTCTACAAAGATGTGATGCTAGAGACCTACAGGAACCTCACCGCTGTAGGTAAGACTGAATTTTCCTTCATTTTTTAAAATAGGAGACAACTGTTTCTTGGTTGTTGGTGTTTCTTCTATAATTTTGATTGAGAAAGGAAGAATGTGTTGCATAAAACTATATATAAAGTTCTAAGATTCATTGGAAATAATAACTTAAATTTTATATAATTTCCAGTAATATATCATGCATTTCCTTGTACTATATTTTAGGCTACAATTGGAAAGACCATAATATTGAAGAACATTATCAAAGTTCTAGAAGACATGGAAGGTAATTTTTATGTGCAAGTGGATGCGAATGTGCCTCTGAAAAATTTTAACGTGGCCTGGAAGTTTTAAGGGAAAGCAACAGAATAAATAAGCACAGCCTTTAGATTATTAATAATTACAAAATGCTCACAAAGTCATGTACTTCAATGTCAGGGGGCCAATTTGTATTTGTAAGTCATTCTTTTAAGAAAGAAGACAAGGAAACAATGCCTTTACAGACCGATATCACCATTTGAATCATAATCCTATGAGAACTATGCTATAAAACTGCCAATCAGTTTAGTTTCATACCACTCAGATGCTGCTAAAGGTATACACATTGAGTAGGTGGTAAGTACATGTCCAAAATCTTCTAATAACTCAATAGCCCATAGTAAAGCTGGTGTTGCTCATATACTTGTAGTGACTTTGCTAACTTTAATGAGAGGGGAAGTTTATGAGGTCCAAGAAGGGCCTATATCACATTTCTGTGAGGAATAGAAACTCAAACTGTGTGAATGCAATGTGGAAAACTTTTGTTATTCTTCCCTTACAAGGTACATCATATGTCACTCTGGATGCAAGTCATATGAACAAAGGGATATGGAAAAGAGTAATCTCTTTCCCAGAGCAATTAGAAGTTATGTATTAGTACTTACGATCTGATAAAACCTTAAGATCTGATTCCTCTCTGCAATTAGAATTGTAAAAAGGAGTTCTTGATCTAAATAGTAAAAATCCAGAGTCAGATATAGAGGACAATGCTGAGAGATCAGAGAGAAGGAGCAAGCCACAGCCAGCTTTACCTCCTTAGCCACTCAGCAGACAAGAGAGCAAGTTCCTGTTTATTTTTGCTCAAATCCTCTCTCTTAACTTCCTGTCTGTACCCAGCCATCTCACTTCCTGTTTCTGCCCAGCTATCTCACTTCCTATCTGTCTGTACAGACCTCTACGGTTAGCTAGTGGCAAGCTCCATCCTCTGATCTTCAGACAGACTTTATTTGTACAAGCAAGGTATCACCACACCTAATTGTAAAACTAATTCATTCAGATAAAAGAAATTATGAGTGTAATGTATGTGGTAAAGCTTTTACATGTGCCAATTATCTTTGCAGGCATGAAAGAAGTCTTACTGAAGAAAAACCATGTGAATATACTCAATGTGACAAAGCCCTTCCATCTCATAGTCATCTTCAAATGCATGAAATAATTCCTAGAGGAAGAAAACGCAATGAATGTAATCAGTGTGGTAGAACCTTTGCAAATCACAGTTATCTCCGAATACATAAAAGAACACATACAGGAGAGAAACCCTGTGAGTGTGATCAGTGTGGTAAAGCCTTTGCACATCTTAGCAGCCTCCAGAGACATAAAAGAACACATAGTGGAGAAAAACCCTACAGATGTAATCAATGTGATAAAGCCTTTTCACAACCTACTAGTCTCCAAATACATATAAGAACACATACAGGAGAGAAGCCCTATGTATGTTATCAGTGTGGTAAAGCCTTTTCACAGCACAATATTCTTCGTGTACATAAAAGAACACATACTGGAGAGAAACCCTACAAATGTAATGAATGTGGTGAAGGCTTTGCACGCCACAGTCACCTTCAAAAACATGAAAGAATTCATACTGGAGAGAAATTCTACAAATGTAATGAATGTGGTGAAGCCTTTGCACGTCACAATTATCTTCAAAGGCATAAAAGAATTCATACTAGAGAGAAACCATATGAATGCACTCAATGTGGTAAGACCTTTGCACAAAATAGTTACCTCCGAGTACATGAAAGAACACATACTGGAGAGAAACCCTATGAATGTAGTCAGTGTGGTAAAGCTTTTGCACGTAACGCTAGTCTCCGAATACATAAAAAAATACACAGTGGAGAGAAACCCTATAAATGTGATCAGTGTGATAAAGCCTTTTCAGAACACAGCTATCTCCGAATACATATAAGAAGACATACTGGAGAGAAACCCTACCAGTGTACTCAATGTGATAAAACATTTGCACATCACAGAAGTCTCCAAATACATAAAAGAACACATACTGAAGGAAACCCTGTGAATGCAAGTAATGTGGTCAAGCCTTTGCATGTGACAGTAGTCTTTGAAGTCATGACAAAAAATCATACTGGAGAGAATCCCTAAAAATGTAGTCAGTGTGGCAAAGTCATTCATTGCACTTTGTGGGTCTTTATACAAGAGTAAAACCTTTAGTGTGTAATCAGTATGTTACAGACTTTGCATCTAATAGTAATCTTTGAGATCCTGAAAGAACTTCTACAAAGGGAAACTGATTGCAAAAGATTTGGAGAGGAGGAAAAAAAAGGGGGGGGGGACTGATTGCAAAAGATTTGGAGAGGAGGAAAAAAAAAACTTTAGCCAAAACATTTATATTCAGCTAAACATTATTTTTTTTTATTCTGAAGAAAAAAAAAATCTGACAAGTATCAACAATCTATTTATTCAAGCGTGGCTGATGCACTTCTTTATTTGCTCCTGTAAACTTGTGGACAAAAACCCTATGAATTTAAACTATGGTCACCCTTGTAGATTTCTCACTTCAATTACATGAAATAATTCATACAGATGTAAGACTTCATGGATGTGGTGGCCCTATCCACTCCAAGTCTTCATAGTCTTTATTCTTTCATTCTTACCTTTTTTTTTTTTTTTTACAATTACTGTCAGTGACAGCACCATGCAGGACCCCATTTGGTTGACCTCACTTGGACCTTAAAGCTCCTCAGTCCCCACACTGTCATTCCTGTCACCTTTCTGCCTGTTAGGAATAAGGATATTCCAAAGAGACATCTCTCCCTTTGGTTAACAACTAAGGAAACAGTGGACCCCCATAAAATTCTGATTTCCCAGAAATCTCATTCTGGGCAAAGACTGAGTCCTCCAGAAGAAAACTTTTCTCCTAAAGACACATTTCTTATCTGAATTCCTTGCATTGAAAAAAGCTGAGAATAGGGGAGGGATTTATGGATGGAAAAAATTATCTTTTGCTGTCTATATAAACCTGTTCTCCAAGGATCAGTTGGTTACCTTATATCTTCACTGTTATAAATTGGTCACACTGAATAAATATGCTTTCAGTTTTTCTTAATAGGTTTTTTCTATTATTTCTTTTTTATTATGATTATTATTTTAAGGGAGTAGACTCACTGTGAATGTCTTGCTTGCCTGGAACTCACTCTATAGACTAGGCTGTCCTAGGACATCAGGGAGATCTATCCACCTTGCCTTCAGAGTGTCTGCATTACAGTGGACATGTCACAACAGGTTAACTTGGTTCTTTTAATTGGCCTAATAAAGATGAGTGGCTGAACCTGGCTGGTTATGGTAGCCATAAGACAGGCTCTGGTCCTAACTCCAGTAACAGAAGAAGGCTCTCATCAAATGCAGCCTTCCTGATTTAAAGTCCATTGTCTTCTACCTATGGGCAATATTATTTTTCTCTATCATTGAATCTGTTCTAATTCATCAAAAGACTAATTCAGAGTTCTGTCTTTATTCTACAGATAAAACCCAGGCTCACAGAGGTTAAGTGGTTTTTGAATACAGATAAGTGTAACTGCTCATCTTACTCATCCTGTCATTCTAACACCTCACTAAATAAAGCTAAAGCTACCTGAGCCAGGCATGGTGGCACAGGCCTGTAACCATGGTACTTAGAAAGTGGAGGCAGCATTTCAGAATTTCAAAGTCATCCAAAGAAAATGGTCAATGGGGTATGGTTGAAGGCCCACAGAACCCAGGGAGACTTTGATTGGCTTGGGCCAATGTCCATAGTCTTCCCTGAAGCACCGGCTGAAGTGCTCCATGGCACCAGCAAGTGTTAGCTGAGGTATTTGCCACTCAAAGTTTTCTGATTTTAATAATATCGTCCTGTCCAAGGCAGCCTAGGTTTTTTCAGGGTCAGACTCCTGTTGCTCATTAAAGAGTGGAATTCTGCAGGTGGGAGAATTAGCCTCAGGCAGGGATAAGATCCCTAATTGCTTGTCCAATTCAATGTGTTCAGCCCAGAAACCATATACACACAACCAACAGAAATGGGTTCGGCAGGAAAGGATGGAAAGAGAATAAGGAAGAACGTAATGTGATATTTTAATTAAAATATGAAAATAAATATTAAATAAAAATTGGCTAGAGAGACAGCAGTTAAGACAGTTGGTGATGTTCAGCCATCACAGGTTCCATTCCCAGAAGCCTGGTAACTCCTGTAACATTGCTCCCAAGGCATCTGATGCCCTCTTCTGTCCTCTGCAAGTACTGTGCACAGGCACATACAGGCAAACACCCTTATACATATAATAAACTCAAAGCTTAAAAGCTAAAATTTTACTGGCTGGAGAGATGGTTCAGCAGTTAAGATCACCAACTGCTCTTCCAGAGGACCTGGATCCAATTTCCAGTACCCACATGGCAAGTACAATTGTCTGTAATTCAAATTCCTGGGCACCTGACAGCCATGTCAAAATACCAATGCACATAAAATAAAAATGAGTAAATAAAAAGATTTGTTTAAAAAAGAAAATAGAATTCTCTGTGGTGATGTTACAACCCTGAGATAGACAGTGAAAGGCCGAAAATACAGTTTAACTCTCTGATGACCACTAAAAGTTAGAAATTTAGAAAAAGTCCATCAGCATGTATTTAAAAATCACCTAGCTGCATGCAAAGCTCAGGAAAAAAGAAAAACACATGAAATAGCTTGATCACAATGACTGGTTTCTGGATATTATTATTCATAATCACCTAGTTTCTGAAGAATGTTGTTATCCATAACAACAGTCTGGGAACTGTTGTGGGTCATCCTGTCCACAAAGAAAATTAATAACTAAAAGATGGAACTCATAGCAAAAAGGTAAAGACAGAAAACAAGAGCCTCTGCCAATAGATATAGATAACTCCCTGACTGGAAAGTACATTCTCCCAGCCACTCAAGGACAAGGCTACTGAGCCCACTGGTTCTTGAGAAAGAAAACCCCCCTAACCTTGCAGGTGTGCTAAATCTCTGTAACCTAGGAAACCTTACTAACCATTCCAAGTTTTGAACTATCCCATGACCTTGCTTTTAGGCCTAATGAAAATAACAGGCTAGCTTTGAAACTGGCCTTGTTAGCTTTGCTGTAAATCCTATAAAAGCTATCTCAATTCTGCCCTCCAGATCCTCAGTCCTCTACACCTGTGTGGTGTATGACTGTGTACCCCAATGCACTTGGAATAAAAAACTCCTCATGCTATTTGCATCAAGACCGCTTCTCATGAGTGATTTTGGGTGTCACCTTTCTTGCGTGGGAGTGTGAAGGTCCATGCTCTGCAGGTCTTACAACAGCAGTCAGTGCTAGGTAAAATGAACTCTTTTACTGCATGGAAGCAGCTGTGGCCTTCTTCTAAGCCAGCATGCTCAGAGGCAAAAGCAGCCTTATTCTGAGGTTTGCATGGCTTGGCAGTACTGTTCATCTAAAACAGCATCCATAGTGCTGATAAGGGACTTTTCCTTGATCATTTCAGTATTTGTGTTCTCTGTCCTTTGTATATGTTAGAATTATGACATTGATACATTTTTTAAATCTATGTTTTAGATCATATAATCTAAAAGATAGACTTGCAGTCTCTTGTCCCTATTTAACTTGTTCAAAGTATAACCTGGGACCTGAATCTAAAAGAGACTTACTATGGATGACAGCATGTGTGGATGCAAAGTCTGCACTAGGCTGGTTCTGTCACTAGCTGTTGTGGACTGTGATGAAATTATAACAGATGACAGCTAGATGTCCCACTAGATGATCAACTAATCTGATGGAAGAAATTTATAGGCAAGGCTTATGAAAATATTTCCTATAAATACTTAATTCCTGTGTATAAATTTACATGTGCAAAGATAGCTATGATATATCCCCAATACCTGTACTGTAATATGTAATCTCATGTGATATGTATATGTAATCTCATGATTACATCTCAATCTTATGGACACGTATATCTGTGAATGGTCAGGAAGATGATTCTCATTAAGCAGTATAATTTTGATATGTAGAAAATATACTAGGATATGCCTCATAACAAGAGCTAATATTCCACGAAGACTGTAAGACATGCTCTGTTTTGTTATCACTAGCTCAGACTAGCATTAAAAAAAAATTCATCTCAGTTCTAAGACAAGCCACATACAGTTAAATGATCCATAACCTCAAGAGCAAATTCAAAGTAGACTAAATATCTCTTTGAACAAACCATAAGTTAAAAACTGCAGATATGCACAAGGACAGAATTGCAGGAATCTAACCAAGGTTGTTAACAGAGAGGCCTACAACTACTATGCCAGCTTCTCTAGCCAGGCCTGGCTGATGATAGAGATCATCGGCTACTCCCTGTTAAATTTCTTAGCAATTAACACCCTACACAAACTTCCAACCTCAGTTTATGGTACAAAATTCAAGGCTCAGCTAACTAACTATTTAAGTCATAAAATTTAAATAGAGGACAGGAATAACAACCAATTAACCAAGTCCAGAGAGAAACAGCATTACATGGGAAAGGCTTCACAGATGGCCAGAACTACAGAATGCAGCCTGGCCTCACATCCTTAAGAAATTCCCTCCTGTAATTCCCTCCTTGTACTCTGGGGCTACACACAGCATAAGAAAATATATCCTTAGACTTTGGATGCTTCCAATGCCAGCCTTGATGAAGGTGCTGGAATGCCCAGGACTCTTTGCCCCTGCCTATGTGTTGCCGTGGTAAACAGCTATGTCCCTTAGCATTTACTCAAAGAATGCATTGTGACCCTGAGAAGGTAGTTTTGTAACCTTTTATATTACCAAAAGTTAAATATGTATATGTTTGTGAACAGGGAAGCTGAGAAGAATTGGAACTAAAGATTTAGAACTGGAGAATTGGAACCAGGTTGGGGGGGTGGCAAGAAATAAAAAGAACATGATCTTCAGATCATATATTTAAGTCTTTTTCCTTTAGATAAGAAATTTTCCTAAAGGCCTTGCTGCTCTAAGGTTCATGGATAAAGTGTTTCTTTCACTGGCTCTGGATTCAGAGTCAAGGTGCTCAGGGATTGGTTGGTGTCTGCTCAGGTTACACACAGGGCAGAAAGGCATTTTGAGATTTAAAGCTGCAGTGTCCTGGGAATGCTAACTTGAGCTAAAGATAAGAGATTTATGGCATCTCAGGAATGTTGACTTGAACCTAAATTAGGGAATTTACAACATTCCCAGTGTCTTAATGTCCTAGTGTTTAGCACTCTAACAGCATTAGACCAAGAAAAATCCAAAAGTTACAACTTCTGATTT